TATTTGCATGGAAAAATGGTGTTGGTCCAATCTCCTGAACTGAAAGCCGGGATCTTGATGCTGTCTCAACATTCAAGATCTTACGTTTCTGAACATCTATTAGATTGTAACTATGTCCCACAGAAACCTCCACGGAATGTATTTTCTGTGGAGAACCAGCTGTTAATGCCTTTAACAATCAACCTAACATCTAATGTTATGAGAAGTGAAAGTTAGAGGAGCTTACCACTAATGCATCTGCAATACTAGTTGCTTCAAGAAGGTCTCTGGAGACAAAGTTCCGTCCAATGCGAGCAGGAACAATCTCATCTTCAGTTGGAGGTACTGAATTCAGCGTAAAAGCCTAAGGTATGTATCGACAAAGCATTAGATTTCATAGTCATGATTGTTTTTAACTCTCATTTTACAGGATAACTCTTGAGAGCATAGGTTGGCCTTTATTTATGATGTGGAAAGAATATTTACCAGTCCATGACTGTTGAATCCGAATGCACAGCTTGGGAGCTCGCCAGCATATGTGTAACCAATGAAGGATAGTCCATTTGATAGTGTTCGCTTGATTAGATATCTGCAAACACCAGAGGGAGATGTTTAAATGTTAGAGACGCATGTTTAGATTCAAGGCAGGTAAGACTCTTCCAGATTCATATATACGTGTGGCCAACTAGTGCAACGTTTGCATCCTCATTATGAGCTGCCAGGGCCATGGACTCGTTCACAACAATAACATCAGAGCAGTCATCTGGGGTATCAACATTAGTATCGCCCACCGTCTTTGGAATGAAGGGAAGTATCTCTTTCCTGAAATTGACGAGTATTATCTGCAAATGATGAACATCTACATGATTATTACGCATTAGATACAGAATGCAATGACATAACAGTTTGAATGCTTTGAACCGTGAACATTACATGGAGAAAAGGCACACCACTTCCTTCCGCAGTCCCTAAGAGCTCATCCCAGTATCTTGAGAACTTGTTTTGGTTTGTCTGTGAGAGGGCTTCGATGAGCTGTTGTCCCTGTGATGTTCCAGCAAAAGGAAGGAGCTGGTTCTGAAGAATAAGGTCTCTCTCCAGCCTGCTCCTTATAAGCTTCGAGAACCGCTGCCCTATGAGAAAACCAAACCGGTAGTCATCCTCACAGGTTCCAACTTCAAACATTTCCAACGTTTTTTCTTCCATACTTTGAGCTCCTCACTCTGTGGTTACAGACTTACAGTAACGTATTATCTTCTTTCTTTTAAAAACTCCTAAATATTGGGAAATTGAAGTTCCAAGTTCCAAGATTGCCCCTTGTTTAGAGACAAACAGAGAAATGTCATTATCCACAGATTGTTGGCCTTTTTGTGGTTTGTATGGATATTGAGGGGGCATTTCTGAAGTTCAATATTCCTGATTGGAAGAAATTTGAATTTAGAACTTAAAATGCAACTAATTTTACAAACTGGATTTAGTTTTATCCCCAACCTCCTAACATGCTTTTGCTCGAGAGTTGCACCAACACATACCAAGAACCTCAGGAAAAAAGGACAAATCATTCATCACCAAATTGAAATTTGAAATCTGACATTATCTAGATATCTTGTGTTTCCCTTTGGTTTGACCTCATTGCTATGGTATATAAAAGAATGGCAGGAAAAAAGAAGTACACAGAGAAGTGGGGGATAGGCTATGCTGGCATTTGAAACTCGGCAGCATTTGAACATATCAGGTGTCTGGATTCTGGACCACCTCACCTGCTAATAAGTACCTGGTACATGAAATTGAAGTGTCGAAATTCGAACCAAGCATCACTTTTTTAATTCCTTTCCACACTTTGTGTTTGA